GCACTCTCTCTCTAGGTCTCCCTACTGTGCAGGAAATACTGTCCCTTAGATTGGTAGAACATGCATGCCAAAGATCAGTAATGGTGCCAAAAACCTTACCTTCTCCCCAGATGACAGATAATGTCACTTTAAAGAAGACAGGAGAATAACACTACAATTTGTAGGAAAGAAGTATTTACAACTTTATAACTTTATTCCATAAGTGCAAGTGTGTGGAATAAGTCTCCTGTAACAGATTCTTTCCTTTCCTGAGATGATTTTTCATGAGACAGATCCAACTGGCTGTGAAAGGGATGACTGCAGCAACCCCCTAAAAGGAGAAAAGTAAAAGCTGGAATTTCCTGATGCTTTACTGATTATTTTTGACCCCAAGAATTCAAGTGGTAAAACTGAATGGATAATAAATCTCCTGCACTTACAAGTTGTTCCTCCTGCACTTATAATTATGCAATCCTGGTACATATGTGAATGAAATTAAATGAAATAAAGAGAAAAAGGAAAGGAAAGGAAGAGAGAAAGGTGGGAGCTGAAACTGACTAGATCTTTGCAGTTTTTGCCTACTAATCCTTTTACATCAGATGTATGTATATTCAACACTTAGTTTAAATGAAATAAAAACACGACATATACTGATTTTTACTAAATATGTCCATAACTTCAACATTTTGCAGCTAGACTAGTCTTGTAGATATGAGTGATTAGATGATACCTGCTTTTAGCTAATCAACTCCTTAATCAGATTTTTTCAAAGCATTCTGAGGGATTTAAATATTTATCTTCCATTGTAAATGCATTAAGTGAGAGGTGTGTGCACCTGAAGTAGGCAAACTGCTTTTAAAAAAATCACAATGCTTTAGAGAGCGTTATCTAATGTAAAAGGGTGGATAAGCTGGTCCTGTGCCAGAATGTAGTTAAGGCAACATTTTCATAATAGCTCTTCTACAATTTGTGCAATACAAACTGGATATTTGGAGCCCCAAATTAGCTGGAACCAGTGTGGGACCTCGCCCTGCAAGTTCTTGTGTTGTTCTGGCATGGCAGTGTGTCTGTCAGGTGAAATCCAGTGATTTCTCTGGTCAAGCAAGGTCAGCAACAAGTGTTCATATTGATAGCAAAATCTGAGATAAGAGGCCAGAAAATGGCAGAATCCAGCAACTCTAGAATAATGCAGTGGAACAGAGCAGATCCACTCTTTTATATCCCTTTTATCGGAAACTTACAAACTAAATTTCACTGAATCCATGTCCTGGCTGCATGTTTCTGGGTTGCTGCTGCTGCAGTAACCTACAACAGAGTTTAGAGCTTTTGGCGCAATCTAGGTGTTTACACTTTTTTCCCCTTTTTAGATCAGGGCTTCCCAAAGTTTTGCCTCTGAAGGGCCATTACAAAGGGGTAATCTTGGATGGCGAGCATCAAGGGGATTCATAGGTCATATTTGACCCATAGGCGACTCTTTGGGAATTGCTGGTTTACATGACAGAATCTGGACAGGAGAGGTTACAAATTGTTATGATCCAAGTATGATATATAAGTTTTTCCAGTCCTGTTGGGTTCGGAGGCAACACAGCTGTGTTTTTTGTTTGTTTTTTTCACTGATAAAGGGACACCTAAACTTTATTTTTACTATTGTAGAATGTAGGCATGAGGTGACAAAATGTATCATGATCCCTTGAGGGGTGGAGCTGGATTTTTGCATCATTCATGTACCAATATTGGGCCAGGAGATTCTTGGTTGAGAACAAAGCAGCTGCTTTGGAAAAAATCACATTCTGAGTCTTCACATGACTCCATCCCTACACCACACCCATACCTCTCCAAAGAGATGTTGCCATGGAAGATGTTGGTTCTTTAAGGATAGAGTTGCTTAATTCCTTAAAATAGATGCTCTGTATTCACTGCCATAAACAAGTAAAATGCTCTCAAGGAAAAGATCTTTTCTTAGTGGCTGCCTTGGCCCTGCTTCTGACAGCTGAGTTTGGTGATGTTAGGTTGGTAGCTGGTTGTCAGACACAAACATGAATCTGAATTGTCAGTTGTCAGGTGGTTTTCTCTCAGGACTGAGCATGGTTTTCATTTGTGAAAACACTTGTTCACAGCTATAAGTAGATCCAAAGACAGACAGCTAGGCAAAAGCTACGTTTCTCATGCAGGCATACTTTTCAGGAAAGGAAGACCACATGCTGTAATCATGAGTTGCCAGTCCCTTTCATTCTCAAGTTCACCTTGCAGCAATTTGAACTTCGATACCCAGATGCATGAGCTTTGAAAGTCAATCAGTTCCAATTCAAATCCTTCAGTGTTCATCCACTGAAAGTACTGCAGTTCTATATATATCACATCACTTTCCCTTGTTCAGTCTGGGTTCACAAGAAATGAAAACATGGGTCCTCTGTTGCAAGTCTTGGAATAGTCATGTGAACTCATCTTCCAGATGTCCTATGTAGCTGCATATATCCCTATCATTCAGTTGATGCTGCTCAGAATGGATTTTCAGACTGGGGAAGTAACGGAAGGCAGATGGTTCGATATCTCATCTGAAAACAGGCAACTTATCACAGAAAGCTTTCCAGTCTTCAGACAGCTGAAGGATGGTTTTCTGTGTTCCTTGTAACCTAGTATTCAAATCATTTAAATGTGATGTGATATCTGTCAAAAACATGTTTTGTTAGTCATCTGTCATCAGTAAGGTCTGCATATTGCTGACCACTTTCCTCAAGAATCAGCTTGAAGGATTTGAGACAGCAACAAATCGCTTGAGCATGTTGCCTTGACTCAACCAGTGTATATTACTGTGCAGCACTAAATCTCCATATGCAGAATCCATATCATTTAAAAGTTCACAAGAATCTCCTGTGTGTCAGAGAGCAGCGGGCAATCAAAAAGCTGACAATTTTCACAACTGTTGTCATGATTTCATTTAAATCGGAAGATGAGATCTTACTGCACAGGCTCTCCTGATGAATAATACAATGGAAACTCATAAGAGGACATCTAATCTCAGTTTCCAGAAGCTTTACAAATCCAGCTGTTTTACCCACCGTAGCAGGTGCACCATCAGTGATAACAGAGAACACTTTGTGCAGGTCAATTTGTTGCTGTGTGAAATATCTTTGACAGCATTAAGTATATCTTTGTTGAGTGCTATGCATAGAACTCAATGAAAACAATTCCTCATGAACTTCCCCAGAGATAAAATATTGAACAATTATAGCAAGACGTGGGGGGGGATACCTGTTATGTCTGTGCTTTCATCCAGTGCAAGGCTCATCACATCACAAGCATGGAGGTCTCGAGTCATTTGTTCCCTAACATTAGTTTCCATTTCATCTATTCGCCTTTGAACAGTCCTGGATGACGATGGAATTTCATCAATACGAGCAATCATGTCCGTCTTATTCGCAAAAATCCTGAAATAGATCCTCAGCACATTTTAAGAAAGAATCCTTTAAGTATTTTCCATCTGTAAAACTCTTGCCTTGCCGAGCTATATTTAGAACTGCAATGTAACTTGCCCGTGCGGAGAAAGTATTTCTAGTTGCACAACTAGAAAAGCTGGCTGTCTGTTTTTTAAACGAATCAACGCTTTTCTAACGGATTCATGTTCGTCTGCTTCATTGACTCCAGAAGATTTGGCTTTGTACTTGGTTGCAAAATGGCGCTGGACACTGGAAGCATGAGATACCACACTTCCGCTGTACAGACTACAAACACAATCCCCTTGCTGCACAAAACCATACAATTCTCTCCAAGCCAGATGAAACTTTTGAATATCTAACTTTGGTTTGTGTGAACTTCAGGAAATTTTATGGTTAGAAGGCACATAGATACATAACCATGGATAGCAAAAACCCCCCCAACAAAGGCAGCACAAACATTGTAAACAGAAAGCAGGAAAATCAGAAAGAATTGAATAATTTGAACGGTGTGTAAATCTGGGTATTTCCAAGACGACAAGCAGAGTAGCAGAAAAGCACACAAAGAAGTGAGCAATATGAAGTGTTTAAATCTAGGAATGCAAAGTAGAGAGAGCAAAATAAACTGAACAGGAACTGTTTCAATAAAGTAAAAAACCTGAAAAACATGAACTGGTTTAAGAGAATGACAAACTGAATAAGAAATGACTTAAAAGAGCAACATATGCTGAATAATATGAACTGTTCTGAGTGAGCAAAAGCTGAATATGAATCGATTTAACAGAGCAAAATAAACTGATTAATGTGGAAAGGGCAACAGCTGAACATGAACTGGTTAATATGGAGAGAGCAAACGCTGAACAGGAATCGATTTAACAGAGCAAAGTAAACTGAAGGGTGCAAACTAGTTAGAGAGAGAGCAAAAGCTAAATCTGAAATAATTTTACAAACCAAAATAAACTAAATAATACGCGATCTTCAAATCTTAGCAGGAATCGGCACCAAGGGGCGTAGCCCGGAGGCACGTGCTGGCCTCATGCAGCAGCGGCGGAGGAGCAGAGCCGCGCCGCGCCGCGCCGGTCCCTGGCCCCCAGCCCGCACGCGGCGCCCCCGG